GGAAGACAACACTATGCATTACAACAAAATCTGTGAAATTCATATTACTTTGTTAAGTGACATTCTCTATCACGTGAAATTTTTCTGCATTAATACTATTTTTTATTCTCTTTATTTAAAAAAAAAGACTCAGGGGGGCTGGGGATATAGCTCAGGGGCATAAGCACCTGCCTGGCAAGCACAAGGTCCTGAGTTCAACCCCCAGTACCACAAAAAAGACCTAGGAGGCCTCCTCAAGACCTGTCAAAGAGCAGAAAGAGAACAGAAGCATTCTATGGATCTTACTGTCAGACATGCTTCAAAAACCTGAGATCCTAGTCTAAAACAGTAAGACACAAAGGGGTGCTGTGAATTGATTCAACAGGGCAAGTTTCCCAGAACCTCACCACTCTCTCCCAGTGCGCATGGGAGAGAAGGAAGGACACAGAATAGGTAAGAATTTCTGGATGTTAACAAATTAGTCACATTTGGCATGAATCATCCCTAGTGTTGCTATGGTAACAGTCAAGGAAGATTGCTCATCCATTTTACTTTGTCCTTAAATTCATAAGGGTTGATCTAAAAATCTAGATCTAGTGTAGTGATCTAGAAGTATCTTGGCATGTGCTATAATCTACAGACAAAATTTTCAGAGGAGATCTTCTGAACCACTGGAAAACAGAATAGATCAAAGAGTCTCTGGATCATATGAGTTAGGAAATTCTTTAAAGACAGGCACTCACAAGTATATACATCAGTGTCTCCATCTTTAAAATAGAAATATCAGAAAAGATACCTTGGCTCCTTTCAGATCTGAGTTTCTAGGGGTTTCATGTATTCTTTCTGCCTGCAAACTTAGTCTGGTAGGAGATCTCACATACATATGCTGGATGATTTTACTTATTGTATTTTTTTTTCTTTTTGGTACTAGTACTTTAACTCATAACCTCTAGCTTGCCAGACAGGCACTATGGTGCTGAGCTATAGACCCTGTCCTGTGGATGATTTTTTTAAATTAGAGTATCATAACCATAAGTGTCACATTTACAGCTGTATGTTCCTTGCATATATAGTTGCTTGTTAGTATATATTTGTGAATAAGTGAGAAATGATTAGCTCGCCCCATGTTAATAATGGCAAAAAGTAACATAGAAGCAGGTAGTTCCTTTAAGGAACTGTAATATGATAACATCTGGCTTGCTAAATCAATGCCTTTCTTTGCATTTTTGTAAGTAAAGTCTCCCATAAAAATGATACAAGCTGCCCAGTGGGACGGATGTGTATGTGCAACGAGTGGTTTAAGCTGGTGGAAATAATCAAATTCAAATCAGAGCAACCTGGCAGTGAGACACACTAATTATAGCCCCATCATTAACATGTTAAAAGTGATACAACATAGAGCTGAAAATTGTCCCTGGTTCAACTAGATACAACTTTCTTTAACCACCTGTGACATCTGTGGTGGCAAAATAGAACAAAGAAATAGCTTCTAATAATCATCAGTAAAAGCTTTGTTTATGTTCATTGGACTGAGCAGTCAGGTTGTTATTTATATTCAGATTTCTCTGTAACTTTAAATCAGCCCCCATCAGCAGCTTGGCTTCTAGTTTTAAAGCCAGGTAACTTCATTTTATCCCTGGCAGCAGCCTTTACCGTGAACATATTCAGAACTAGGGGATGCCCATCTCTCTGTTGTTTTCCTTTTATTTATGTAAGGACCCCACTCACTTCACTATGGCAAATTCCATTTGGCCTTCTGGCCACACAACAACTCACTTTTGTTCTGTCTGCTTAAAAACTTAAAAACCCTTTGTCTGGGAGAGGAAGAGATTAAAACATTTTTTTCTTCTCTAACACAGTTTAATAGATAATCAGTAACCTAAACACAATACTTTCAACTTCCAAATTCTTAAAGACTTAAACAGATGTACCCACTGCAATGTCAAGTGATCTGAAGTTCCTTATGTGCAAGTTTTCTTTTACCTTTTCAGTCAACATTCTGTCAATCTTGTACTACTTTCCAAATTCTCCTTCTTCATGATTAACCTAGACTTGACTCTAGTTCTGTCCTTGAACCTGAATTCAAACAATAACAATCTGTTATTTTTTCATTTCTTGATCATAGCCATTCTTTCTGGGGTGAGGTGGAATGTCAGTGTTGTTTTAATTTGAATTCCCAAATGAGCAATGATGCTTGTCAGTTTTTTCATGTGTTTATTTACCACTTGTGTTTTTTTCATCTGAGAAGTGGGCATTTATCTCAGATGACCATTTTTTATTGGGTCTTTAAATTTTGGAGGCCTGATTTATTAAATTCTTTATGTGTTCTGGAAGTCCTTTGTCTAAGTAACAACTGGAGTTTATATTTCACTACAACTGTTAGAAGTTGAGGCCTGGTCAGAGAGGAGGGACACTTTAGGCATGATCCAGAAGGTTGTATTTCCCTTCCTGGCTCTTTCCCTTACTCTGATTTCTGAAGGCCATGAGTTGAGGAGCTATTCCTCTGTTATACCCCTCTGCCATACTGTCCTTCCTTGAAAAACCACCTGACTATAGACTGAAACTTCTCTAAAGTGTGAGTAAAAATATACCCTTCCTTCTTTAACTTGTGGCTGTCCAATACTGAGTTTCAATGACAAGAAAAGTGACTATGACATAGATCATAGCTCTATTTCTTCTGGAAAGATGGACATTTCCCTAATGATGTCCCTGTAAGAAGAAATTAAGAACTTTGGGTTTTGGGTACAGATAATCCTTCTAAGAGTACTAAAGGACTTTCACTGGGCTAGTGTCTGGGAACTGTATAAAAATAATTTTACTTAATAGAAAATAGAAATAACAATGTGGCACACACGTCAGCAATATCATTCTGATTTTAAGCAGTACTTACTGAGCATATACTGTGTTTCAGGTACTGTGCTAGGAGTCATCTATCAGTAAGTCACAATATGCAAACTTTTGCTCCTCACAGTTTACATTCTAGTAGGGGAGATGGACAGCCAATAAAACATGTAAGTAAAGTATGTCAGATAGTGATAAGTGAAATAGACAATGATTGCATTGCCTTAAGTGTAAAGGAAGAAATGGGAGAGGCAGTGCAAGATAGTAGTCTGAAATAGAATAGTTAAGAAAGTCTCTAGGAAAAGGTAATATTTAAGTATCAGACTTGAAGGAAGTGAGTAAAAGATCTATGTAGACATCAGCAGGAGTGTTCTAGTCAGAGAAAAAATATTGCAAAAGACCTTAAGGGTAAGCATGTCAGGCATGTTGAAAGAAAACCAAGGAGGCTGGTGTACTGAGGTAGTGGACATGGCGAAAAGCAGCAGGAGACTAAATTAAAGAGGTAAGAAGGGGTTCATGCTATACCATTTTGCAAGTAACAGGAATTTTTGCTTTTATTTGGAGGAGAAATGGTGAGCCACTAGAAGATTTTTCACAAAGTAGTAAAATGATCTGACTCAAGAGAGGGAAAACACAGCAGTATCATCACTGTATAAAGTTCTAATGAGCAGCACTGCTCTAGAAAAATGAGAACACTGAAAAAATTAGACCTTACCGCTGACATCAAAGAGCATTCTAAGCTAGGTGGCAAGAAGTATGACAAGACCTAGTCTCTGAAAGGAAGAAGATGAAAAGATTCAAAGACGAGATTTTTGGGAGTGGAAGGCTATCATTGTGTTGAATGTATTTGAGTCTACTTGTGTCTAATCTTTTACTCAATTTTCCACTGTTTTCCTCTGTTTAGTAAAAAGCGCTTTAAAAATGCTAATTTAAGTTCACTGTGCTCAACAGAATACGAGGTAAAAGGTGCTCCTCTTCTCCAGATGGGGTTAGGAAATGTAGAGATACAATTCCTAGGGATCGGAGTGATACATGGAAAGACCTGAAGCTTGTTCATCTAGCCTTAATTTGTAGATTCCCTAATAATTTGTTTGCTCAAACTAGCAAGTGTTTTCCAAGTGAGGGAAAAGGACCAGAAGCATCAACATCACCAGAGATGCTCTTTAAACCCATAGATGCTTATACCTTATCCCAACTTTGGTAATTTTCAACTTGTGTGACAATGATGAGGGTTTTGGAATCTCTCTGATACACATTCAAGGCTATGAATTACTTGCTTTCAAGAATCTGTGTTTTGGGCTGGAGAGATGTCTCAGTAGAATAAGCACTTCCCTGGCAAGTGCAAAGGTCTGAGTTCAATCCCCGGTTCCACCAAAAAAAAAAAAAAAAAAAAAAAAAAACCTGTGTTTTTCTTAAGACTCTGACATGAACATCTAGATCAGAAAAGACAAGTCTTCAGTCAAAAACCCTTGCAAATGGAATGGCAGACCTTGTTCTAATGTGGATTGCTGGCTCTGAGCATGGGTGTAATTCTCCCTAGGTCTCTGGTGACCTATCTGTGAAATGGAAGATGTGAGCTGCGACTAATTCATTTCTGACAGGCTTCTTGACTTAAAGGAAAAGGGTAGAGATTTATGGAAGAGAAAGGAAAAAGATTCAGGGAGAGAGAATGGAGACAGAAAAAGGGAGAAGAGAGGGAAAGCAGGGAAAAGAGAGAAAAAGAAAAAAGAAAGGAAAAGAAGGGTAGTAAATTATTATTAAATGAATCATAAAGTTAAAGAAAAGGTGAAAAAAAATGATTGCGGAAGCTGAAAACAGGAGGATCACTACAATCCAAGTTGCATAGAGAGATCCTGTATCAAATACATTATAAATAAATAAATATGAGAGCTACATTGTTGCCAAAACACCACATTTAAGTATCTACAATTTGAATACCAAAATTGAATGCTAGGATGGGTGTCTCAAAAGAAAAGCTTTCACTATTGATTTTCATCAATAGTAGGTGCAGAAATTGAGAGCACCAAGGGAATGTTTTCACTCCAATGAACAGAATCTAGAAGATAGTCCAGCTGCTCTTTTCAACACTGTGGGACTCTCAAAGGCAAGCCTATCACAGTTATTAGCTTTTCATGCAAGTTTCCTCTATCATATCCTGTATACCCCCATGTGATGTCTACCTCACAAATGTCCTTGAGGTGCTTGATGTAGTGACGTTCAGTGCTCATAATTTCATTGATGACATTGGCCCGCATTTGGTCCCGGTTCTGGAGTGGTCGACCCAGGCACAGGCAGTCTGAGTTGGGGTCGAGATGCCCATTCTGCACATCACTTGGCCCTTCCTCCACACCATCTTCCTGGTTCACCCAGAGCTGTGGAAATAAGCAGAAAAGAATAATGGTTTAAACTCCTTGAGGAGTAGTTTACAATCAAATAATAAAAATATAAATTAAAACATTTGGGTATCCAAAAGGCCTTCAATCAGAAGCCCTTGCAAAAAAAGAATGTTATACCATACTCTATTGTATCCAAAAGGCCTTCAATCAGAAGCCCTTGCAAAAAAGAATGCTATACCATACTCTATTGTGCTGTGCTGGCTCTAACTATGAGTCCAATCCTCTCTAGGTTCCTGAAAACCTATCTGTGAAATGGAAGATGTAATGTGCAAGTAATTCATTTCTGAGAGTCTTCTTGGCTAAAAATGTTACCAAAGAGACAAAAGTGATTTTAACCAAAACACGTTCATAACGAGGCATATCTAGGAAGCACAGCTGGATCAAGAAAATAATTTAAACTAAATATCTAAGTATGATTCTTAGGCAAGCACAGGGACTAGGGATCAATCCTTGGCACCACATGCCATGCTAGCCCTGTCTCCAGGCATGCTAAGCCAGCCACAGGGACTGGGCATAGTGGCACATGCCTGTAATCCCAGCGCTAGGAAAACTGAAAACAGGAGAATCATTACAAGTCCAGGCTGCATAGTGAGACCCTGTACCAAATACAGTATAAATAAACAAATAAATAAATAAGCAAACAGCTGCATTATTGCCAAAACACCACATTTAATTACCTACAATTTTAATGCCAAAATTGGATGCTAGAATGGGTGTCTCAAAAGAAAAACTTTTACTACCAATTTTCATCATAAGATATATAAATAATAATTGAAATTTGACTGTAAAATTCCTTTGACAGGCAAATAGCTCTACCTCATAAAAGTTTTGATGGGAATATCGGAATATATTTCCCCACCACATAATAACAATAGCTATTGATTAAACATTTACAATACACCAGTCACTGTGCTAAGAGCTTTCAAAAAACTGCACTCAGTCCTGTTACATAAGTACCATTGATAACATCATTTCACAGAAGAGGAAACTAGGGCTAAAAAGTGTTAAGAAGTATATCCCAAGTCACACAGTTAGGAAGCAAAGAAGTTTGGGATAGGAGCCAGACAGTCTTGGCTCTACAAAACCTATGCCATCAAATATGTGTCTTTAGCTCTAAGGGAGACAGGAAGAGAAAAGAAAAAGCTTTGGACAAAATGAGCTGACAATTATTAGAATCATAAAAAAATGGATAGTTGGTTAAGACTGAGATTGTCTGTTTCAAATCGTAAAATTGAAGAGAAAAAGAAAAATTTGGGTGAGATGTTTTTGCATCTTGGATACTTAGCTTACATCATAGCCCATTTATCCCCAGTCCTAGAGGATAAAAATATGGGTACAGGAAGAAAAAGAAGGGTGCCCCATGGCAGTAACAAAATCTGTAGGAGGCAATTTGCCAAGTACTTGTTAATTGTCTCAACAGATTAAATAACTCCATATTTCCTCTCCTCACTTTCTACATTTTTCATCTACATCCCTGACTTAAGAAGCCAAGATCAAGCAACTTAGATGCATCCTCATTTCTGCCACCAAAAATGGTGTTACCTTTTCCTAATCCGGGCTTAGCTCATTTTGTGACAAACAGGAAAAAGCATGGTAAATGATTTCAGAGGCTTTGAGATGAAGGTAAAAAAAAATAGCACTTATGAAACATAGTTAAAATGGTAAAGAAAAAAAAAAAAAGACCAGCTGTTACTTTCCGACTTTGTATATTCTTCTTTTCACATTCCTTCCTAGGGGATGGGAAGTGTGGTTATCATCCTGTATGCCTAGAAATGTTACCTACATATATATTTGCTACAGGCCACAGCAAGAAGAGATCGCTCTGCTTTAACACATTTTATATACATGTCCAATGTGCAAAGTTTATCTTCATCTGGAACCTACCATCCTTTGCAAATTCTCTATTGAAATCTTTTCCAAAAGATCAGCTTTTTATATTCAATAGGCTAGTAGCTGCCCTTTCATACAACTGAGATCCAATAAGAATGATTAGCTAAAGGAATGGTTATGTTTTAAAAATGATTATAAGGCAGGCCGGGGAGCTAGCTCAGTAGAATAAGAGCTTTCCTGGCAAGCGAAAGGGCTTGAGTTCAATCCCCGGTTCCACAAAAACAAAACAAAACAAAACAAAACAAAACAAAACAAAAAAATGATTATAAGGCATTGGAGTAAATATCTCATATACATGATGCTGCTATTTTTAATAATAGAAACCTCATCCTCTAGTAATCTATTAGCTTTTCCTGTTTGTAACAAAACGAGCTAAGCCCAGATTAGAAAAAGGTAACAGGCTTTTAAGAAGTAAGAGCCATTTCTATAATTCTCAGGACAAGTCAAGTCAGAGCGTTGGTTTGTGAATGGTGGGAATAAAATGAATATTTGGAACACTTTCAGTGGGAAGGAGTACAGGATGAGGGCAGGAACAGAATGAAATTTAGATTCACATATATTCCATAGGAGGTTGCAAATAACATTGATAAGGAAGAAAGGCAATTACATCACAAGAAGCAGTTGCCTTACACAAAATTTGGTGGAAGAAGACACCTTCAGCTAAAACTAAAGATCTAGGTGGCAGGCCCTCTATCAGGTGCTTCTGAAAAGACATCTTATCTCATTTAACAATCTATATCAAGGGCCTACCAGGTCAGATACTGAGGATGGATACCACAGCAAAGAAAATGTAAATCACTGAACTTCATGAATGTGACGTCACAGAGACAATATTTTATAGCCTAGAAAAAGGTGCTATGAAAGGTCCAAGTTATTGTGCTCCTCATCTCAGGGTTATAGATAAGATTCCTTGGGCCTGAAGATATAACCACCTCATCTAATCCCTAAGTTTTCTGCTCTTAAAAGCTTCCTGCTGTGTACAGATGATGATCCTAGTTTGCTTGCATGTCAGAGTACAATGACACAAATCAGCGTAGGAGCTTAGCCTCACTGGGTGGCATTCTATAATGGCATATTAGCCCTGCCCAACAACCTGTTGCAAGCTAACATGTACATTTTCACCAGTGTTGTTGACTGATATTTCAATTAGCTCAAAGTTTCCTGATGACAAGATAAACAATGCCCAGAACATGCCAGATGGCATGGCTTTCCTAAAAGCCCTTGCATGCTACTTATAGGCTGATTTAACCAGTCTTCATTGAACTCTAAAGGGAGATGGATTAATAGGATCATTTTAAAAAATATCTACATTGGAACTATTTTGGGCCTAACTGCTAACTACTTACTGTGACAGAGACATGAGTAAGCAAGACAATTCACTCCTTCCTCTTCCTTAAAAACCAAAAAAAAGTTTTCTAAAAGAGAGATAATCCCTGGTCCTTATCACACCCTTTTATATTGCACTGTCACTTCCCTCATCTCTTTACAGCCAGTCAAGTCCCTGGGTAAACTCCAAGGTTCAGTCTCTCTTCCATGCCACCAATGAACTACACTCTCATCTTGATTGCTTATTTTCATACCCCAGAATCCTCTATAACTTCTCATTGATTATAAAGCCAGTCCAAGTATCCACCTTTACCTCCTACTACCCTCTTCAGAAATATTGGGCTCCTTGCAGATTAGTCTTTGTTATGACTTGTGTCTAGTTGTCCCCCAAAAGCCTCATGCAGTCATGACACACGGACTTCTAGAGTTTGAAATTAACTCATGATTCACTGGAATTATAGGTGTGAGTGCTGCTGGGATTATGGGTGTAAATACTACTCCCATCATGGGGCAGGTAGTCTAAACGCAATTTAATGGAGACAGACTCTCTCTGTTGCCTTTGTTGCTCTGCTACTCCTTCCTCCCTTTGCTGTCTGCTCTTTGCCACTGCCATAAAAGTTTGGTCTCTGCCCTGTGCCATTTTGCCTTGGAGTCAGCTGACTATGGACTAAAATCTCCATTAACTGTGAGCTAAATAAACTTTTCCTGCCCTAATTTAGAATGTTGGCTATTTTTCCCAGCAAGGAGAGAAGAGTAACAGGCAGAATTTGGTACTGGAAGTGGGGTCATTGTGGTAGCTAAACCTAACCATGTGTATTACAAAGTTTTGGGAATGGCTTATGGAAAGAGATAAAAAGGTTTGAGATGTTGCCTACAAGAGAAGCACTGGACACACACACACACACACACACACACACTAAATAAATGTTAAATAAATAAATAAATAAATTTTAAAAAAAAAAGGGGGCTGGTGAGATGGCTCAGTGGTCTAAAGCACCTACTTGAACAAGCTTGGCAAAGCACAGAGACCGCGGTTCAATTCCCCAGCACCACATGCCAGCCAGTCCCGCCCCCTGGTGGGCTGAGCTGGCCACACACACACACACACACACACACACACACACTAAATAAATGTTAAATAAATAAATAAATAAATTTTTAAAAAAAAAGAGAAGCACTGGAAAAGCTTTGGCTGTTTTTTGTTTTTTTTTTGGGGGGGGGAATTCTGATCAGAGCCTAAAACACCAACATGCCAATAGAAAGCCTGCCTGTAAAGACCAGGCTGGGGAGGTTTCTGCTGGGAAGAAGGACTGCATTGGTTGTTGGACTCTAGATGACTTGTATTTCGGCTTGGCAGAAAGTTTTTCTGCATTTTTCTAGCGTCAAGAGACTTTGGCTGAGAGTGAGTTTAAGCTTGACAAACTGATTAATCTGGCAAAAGATATGTCAAAGCAGCCAAATATTGAGGAAGCAGCATTGCTCTTGTTGGGGGCTTTATTTATTTTTTTGTTAGCCAGATTTATGGTAAAAGTCAAGAACAGAGAGCTCAGCATGATGATTTAAAATGTTGTGAGTTTGACCAGAAGTAAACCTCCAATAAAGCTGTAGATTTCAAAACTAAAGCTGAGAAGATCTCCATTGCAGAAAAGGAACAAGAGAATAAAATGGATGGTCTGAGGGCATCACAGGATGTGGCAAGTAGACTTGCAAGGGAGAGGGACTTTGCCCTGAGGAAAAAAGTCGCCTGTTCCAGAATGGTG